TACCTGCAATATTAATACCAAATGCAATATAAACCTTTCGTAATCTTTTCCCCTTTACGATCTCGTTATATCCATGTGAGCAGAGTCTCGCAAGCTTATTATGATCATCACGGATTTTCTGGTCAGTAGACGCCCACTTCCCACTCTCAATATATACAATCTCATTCTGTTTCCGTTTCAAAGATGCTCGTATCATAAGATCTGGTCTATCTCCTCTTGAACTAATTTCCTCTAATACCTTTTGGTTCTTACTAGCAATACTCTGTCGCTCGCCTCTAATTACCTCAACGTCATATTCGATTGGTACTGATACAAAGAGGCTTCGATTAAATGGGCCATAGTTTCGACAAGAGAATTTTCTGACCCATCTGAAACTCGACGAAGAACATTTGATCTTATTTTCAGCAAGAGAAGATCTGTTATATTTTTTCCCACTTGGTCTCTTTCGTAGTCCTGCTCAACCCAACGGCCATGAGTCACTTTTTCGGATGGCATTATCATAAACCTGTAACGCTGTTGGATTTCATTTCTTTTAACAACAAAATTAGTACACAATTTTCTTATTGAAGCTTCTTTGTTTAGCCCCCTTATAGAGGCTCTTTCACCCTAGTCACGTAATATTGAAATTCTTTAATAGTGTATGGATCCCACACAAAAAGTTATTGCGTAATATAAAATACATACCACAAGAAGGCTTTGTTCCTCTCTTTCTAGTGAAAATTGGGAAGATCCAAGATCGATTATATTGTTAACCAATGGATCATTCCACGATAAATCATTGACATTCACAGCACATAATCCCTCATATAAACGTAAATGAGCAGGGGATTTATCTCTCTGACCTTCTAAAATGCCCTTCATACTGCCGATATTGCACGTAGCCTGACTTCTCCAATCCGGTTTTTCACGTTTAGGCCTATATTATTTTAAAGTATTAGTCTGTTTCATCTAATTTATCCTTTAACTTCTACAAATTAACCTACTGGAATAGATCAGTATCCATCATCAATGGATTAAGCTCCTTCCACACAAATCGTATCTAGTGTTAGAGAGAAAAAAATTAGCTTGGTTTGAAAAACAATTAGAATTTATACCAGATCATGTTGATCAGAATTGATATGGCTGGCCATGCGATATCACCACTTATTTTGCTAATCATAATTATTAATAGTGCAATGTTGCAGATTATCGTCGGTAACTCATCGCGTCGAATGCGGAATACCACTTACTCAACACCATTACACTATTAGAATCATTTCCCAAAATATAATATCATCATATCTACATTAAATTACATTTATCTTAAAACAGTAATAAATTAATACCTTCTCTATGTCTAGCAATGTCAAGAGGTGTTGATTGCGACTCTCATCAGTACTTTCCTCTGCCAACTCTCTCAACTTCCATAACTCGCCCACAATCTACTTCTTCTGTATTCACTCCGCAATCTTTCCAATATTTATGCAACACCCTGGAAATTGTGATTTGATCAAGAGGTTCATTTTTTAAAAACTCGCGAAGGGTAGTAAATTCGACTGATAAAACAGATGTAGACATGTTTAGTAATTTGTCACTAAAAAAATAGTGTTAGTATTAGTGATTATAATAATCGAAAAATATTTCGTGGGTGTTCATAAATTTATTATACTGTCCTTTTAAGCGTTTTCGTTTATCTCTTTCTAAATCTTCTTTTGGATCTATAGAATGGGTATAATAAAGTGGAAGAAAGTAGTATTTACGCCAAAAAAAAAAACATTAAAAGAAAAAGTATGTACATGAGGTAATTAATCGAATTTGGTAAATCGTACAAATAAATCATGCAGGGTCAGGTGGTTGCACATATCGAAATTCTGAAAACCTAAAAATAATTTTTATTGCCACATAAATTGACGTTTGATATAATGATTATCTGATTGATTATGCGGATATTTTTTACCATGTACTTTTTCTGATGTATTGCTATTAGAATTATTCTTGGAATTTTTCAGCGAACATTGTTCTGTGAAATTTTGCAGATCACTTGTTAGATTAACGAAGAATTGAATACTATTAATAAAATTATAATAAAACAATGACGAATACACAATACACAATCGAATCATTAAGAGAATTGAATTCCAGGCTTGTTCTTCAGATCGATGAAATCAGAAAGAAGTTCACAGAGATTGAAATCGAGAATAACGAAATTAAAAAGAAATATGTAGAGGTTGAAGCCGAGAATACGGATCTAAAAGAAATAATAAAAGAAAATTCCAGGCGTGAAGCTGAGAGTATGAAGCTCAAAGCTAGAGTTGAGGAACTAGAACGGTATAAAAAAGAAAATGAAAAGCGATTTGAGAAATTGGAATGTATCCGATCCAGTTATAAACCATTGTATTGATACTAATACCAAATCATTAGATGATGATACCAGGAAAATTAATCAATCTTTAGTTAATATTATCCTTTGTGAAACAAATTCTGATGATACTTCTGAACTGATAGATGAACAATGTGATGATACCCCCGCATCTGATACATTTGATAACACTTCAAATTGTGATTTACGTCATGAGTCTTTAACTCGATGTTCTGCACCATCTAACCACACAGAGTCTGAATCGTTAAAAGATAAGGAAATGAATAATATAATTGATTTTCCGGTTGAAAGAGATAATGAAGGGATTCGTAACGAAATAAGAGAACGAAATAGGGGGGAAAAGCTTCAAAGTGAGGCACCTACTGGAAATTCTCCGAAAGAGGACACTTACGCATCTAATATTAAATCTAGTGTTCCTTCAAATCAGAAAAAAGAGCGAGGTTTAATACAAGAGATATCTATTAAAGATCAGAATAATATAACTGAAATTTCATCAAACAATATTCCTCAAAATCATGTGCCCGAAATAGATTATTCTACTTCAGATAAAGACATAATCTGTTTATATCAAAATGCATGCGATGCAGAAAAAGATGCTATAAAAGCTAATCGAGAAGAAATATTATGTTGGTGTTTCTATGCTAAAAAGTCTAAAGGTATGGTTAAAGATTTTATGGCTGATGGAAAAGTTGGGGAGAAAAAAGCAAAAGGTCAAGTATATGATTTTATTATCCAACAACTTCCTAATACAAAGCGTGAAAACTTATGCAAACAAACACAAAAAGCTTTAAGAGTTTATAATTTATTCGAAAAAATAGGAATGGATAAAATTCAATATATCAAAACTTATACTGCAGATAGTATTTCGAGATTTACTAATCTACAGATTCAAACAATTATTGATCATTTCGCTAAAAAGCCTGTCATAGAATTCACCGATAATCAAGACAATTCTTCAGATGACTTACCCGCCGGAGAAGCAAAGCTTCGAGTTTCCAACTCAACTGAGGCGAGTAATACATCTATTCTATCTAATTCTGAAACAATTCCAGTGGTATCAACAGAGATACAAGCAAGCGTGTTCGATGATTCTTTAGATTCTAACTTAAACCCCCTTGAGAGTAATGAGGATAATGAAAATGTTGATGATGATGAGGATGAAGACGATGATGATAATGAGGAATCTTCTGATGATGAGGAGAAGGAATCTTCTGATGATGATGAAGATGAAGATGCTGGATATTACTACGATTTAAATAGCGGTAAAACTTATAAAAAACAGATCGTTTAATCACCACATGTGACATTGGTATAGAACTGGATAATTTTAATATACAAGTATTCCAGAATTTAAGGGTCGTACACAAATGTTTTAAAAAATAAAGAATTCGTTGATTCATTTTATTTAATGATTTATATTTCGATAATAAGATACAAGAATAATTAATATTTTTTTACGAAAACTGGCAGAGTTGCAAGGGAGAGAACGTACGGCCCCTAGACCATTTAATGTACGCCCCTTTACTTTGGCTCTACCAGGCGAAAAAATTATTTATTACTATTGTTATAATCAAATATTTCGTTGGCATTATTATCTTCGTAATTACTACTACTTATAAGTTTATTTTTTTCTTTAGTTTTAAACGCAATCCAAGTCACACCATGTAATAGCAACATATTTTTGTTTCATAAAATAAGATAAGGTTCTGTCGAATTATTGGTAACTATTTTTTCAGATTGAAAATTGTGAGTGTCTATTTCATTATCCGAGATTATATATTTTTCGTCCAGCCCTTACCCGATAATACAATATTTATGTTCAATCCCTGATGCAATTTCTGGCAAAATGATACAGAATGTTTTGGTAACAATGCACAAGATGGGTAATGTAAAAGTTTACTTTGCTAGTTTCCATCTCTAGTTACCTTAATATCATGTTCAAATTTCGCAGTCTGCTCGACTCTAGCCATAAGTTTGGCATTCTCTTGTCTTAATAAATCTAATTCGGATTGCATGATCGATAATAATTTTTTTATATAATAATAAGGCATATATTTTGTCTGCAATATACAACTGCAATGTATTTTTTTATTTGTATGTTATTTCAGCATCATTTTTATACTAAAAGTTCTACAGAACCAGGCACGAAGTGGTATTATTTTGGCACCATGTATCAGCTCTGTTAAAATATGGTTTTATAATCATGTGGTAATTTATGAGTTGTAGACTCTCATTTCATACTTGTAAACATTGGTTTCGATTTGCAAACATACATAAATGGCAAGAAAAATCGGCATAATCTTTTTATTTTTCTAACACACCACATAAAAAAATAATGATTTTCACAAACCTAATTTCAAGATTTGGTAATCCATTCATTCATAAAAATAAAGGTCTTGTGGGACGCATAATAATAAGCCTGATGTAGGTGAACAGATATTTTGTTTATTCGATTACTATGCCCATTAATACATTTTAATCATTATTTTAATAAAAAACGAAAATTAAAGTAAAACAGTTATATTGTGTACTAATTTCCTTTCTTCATTCCTCAGTCATCATCACTTTCTTGTAGTTCCTGGCGGTGCAGATACAACGCGAACAACCGAAATTTTCTTTATGGTATTATTATTTAATTTGTCTAAATTTCTTTTATCAAACCTGATTTGTCATCTGGCAGACCCCAATAGTGCTTAGAAATTCCTGGTTCGTTATCTGGATTTGGTCGATCAGGACGAATTTTGGCTTTATTCCGAAGTTTGAGATAGGCGTCTCTATCACAGCTTATTTCAACAACTTTTGGTTTGTCCGAAGGTTTACGTTTATTCGCCCATCCAATTACTTGGCTACGATTTTCACCAAAATATTTTTTTTCTTGACTATCAGGAAGCTGATGTGGAAGAGCTCCATTTTCAATGGTATCCTGTTGTTCAGTTTCACACATGTTACGATATATATTGACACTCTTCTTGGGTAAATTAAAGTCTACAGATTTTCTCCTATATTTATTATCATCGTTAAGTGAATTTTTAAATTGTTTAGCAATTGTTTGATTAGCAGCTGAAGAAACTTGCTTTAGTTTCTTTTTCGATGTCAAAGGAACTTGCTTTGTTTCCCTTCTCGATGTCATTTTATTAACAAAAAGTAAGTCCAATGGACCATGCTTTATATACAAATAGCTTAAATGATAGACCGAAAATGGTAATTCATTGTAAATGTCGCTTAAATGGTAGACCGAAAATGGTAGACCGAAAATGGTAATTCATTGTATATGCATTTTAAATGTATCAGCTGATGTAACAATTGTAAATGATGGTAATTCATTGTATATGCATTGTAAGTGTATCAGCTGATCTAACAATTGTAAATGGTGGAATAATGGAATTAAAATATTTAGAGCTTATAAAAAATTGAATGTGTCTCAATACTTTGATATAATACGTCATTATACATAAGATGTTAATACATATGTCTCGCAAATCTAAAAATAACAGACGCAAAGGTATGATCCAATTTTTTGATCCAAAGTAATACGCAAAAGTGATACGCAAAAGTATGATCCAATTTTTTTGATCCAGAGTAATACGCAAAAGTATAATCCGATTTTTGATGTAATGTATCCAATTTTTATAGTGATACGCAAAAGTGCAAACAAATTTTTTGATTCGGTAGTACGTAAAAATATGATCCAAATTTTCGATCCAGTAATACGTCAAAGTGCAATCATTATTTTTTATATGGTGATACGCAAAAGTAAGAATAAATTTGATTTGGTGATACGCAAAAGTGCTATAAATTTTTCGATAGTAAAATGACAAAGCATAGGTCGATTTTTTGACAAGAAAAAATGATACTCAAAAGTACTAACTACGCGAGAAAGCTTTCTAGGAACCCAAAACATAGTATACTTTCGGTGATACGCAAAGGTAGAATAATATAAGGAAGAAGTAAGAAAAATTGTGCTTTTGCGTATCACCAAGTGAGATAACAATTCGGCACTTCGTACCTCATCCTCGATTGGTATTCGAATGCATCATGCAAAACCAGATCATGAATACTATTTCGGCACTTCGTGACTCATCCTCGAACTCGAATGTGACATACAAAGCCAAAATACGGATTGCCAATTCGGCATTTCATGCCTCATCCTCCGCAATCGAAAAAGTTGGAAGTTCGCCTGGGAAATGTATTGTTTATAGTGATATAAGAAATGTGTATTTTTTACGAATTGGTTAGACCAACATGGTAAAAAAGAATAGAACTTGTGAACGCTGTAGCTATACATGTGCAACACCTCAAAAGCTTCGTTCGCATCTCAAAAGAAAAAACCCGTGCAGACCTCAATTTCGTAAGCATTTTCCTGGAGTGGTACTTATAGATGATCGTCCACATGTGTGGACGATGGACACGAATGTTACATGGCGGAGTCTGAAAACGCAGAAATCAGACGCCTTCTTAAATATATACTCCGTCCATCAATCCGCAATCAATACTGGACACATATTTTTTTCATCCAAATGACAGCACAAACTCGAAGACGCAGACGACCACGAAATAGTCTAATTTATTAATAATTACATCATTGCGGATTTGCAAACCAGGATGCTTTGCATCCAGTTCGAGCATAGCCCTCACAATCGGCACTTCGTGCCTCAGCCTTGGGTGATGAAAGCAATCAAAGGGCCAAAGAAAGCCAAAAACCTCATCGAAAGGAAGCAAATATCAAGCCAATTAGGCACCAAAATGGGTACCCAAAAATGAGTAGGTATCAGTCTAGTCATAAGTATGTAACAATCTAGTCATAAGTATGTAACAGTCTAACGCAAGTAGGTTGCAGTATATATATACTGCAACCTACTAGGGATGATAAGGTTAAAAATGTTGAGATAACCTTTTAATATTTATTTATTAAATGTTTATTAATTTATTTTCATTTGTTTCTATTTATATTCCTTAAGAAAAAAGCAAACATAAATTATCGATTATCTTGATGATTAGTAAAATTTTCAATGAATGATTAAACATATTTATCATTTTACTATATTAGTTTTAAAGGCTGGATGAACAGTTTATAAAATTCGACCGCGTAACATTAAACTAGTCTAATTTTAGAAATTATCTGCGGTATATTTCCAGATTTGGCTAGCTCTTAATAAATAATATATATATATAATAGTTTGGGTGTTGTGAGCATAGTGGAAATTTGAAATGTCACACTAATTTTTTATATTGTGCAACGTAGCTTTACAATACACGGCAAACATTCTGGCAATAAAAAGTAAGTGATAAACTGGATTTGAATTGGATCTGAACTTGATCTCCAATTTAGAGAGGTAACAACTATATACTGGTAAAGTTTCAGGAGCAATGAGTTCTGTATGACACTTCGTGTAACAACAAACTTCCATTATGCTCGTTCACACAATAAAAAATGGGGGTCGCCAAAGAATTTCTTTTTAATATGTAACAAACAAACATTTTGAAGGAATCGTTCGCAGAAAAAAATTTATCTTGATATCTTTTCATCGTAAATATCTCCATGGCGAAAGTTTGGTTTTCACAGGTTTGTGTCCTCTTACTTCGTTCGTTATTATTACAATTTACTCTTTAACATTTATTGGTTCCGTAGCAACAGTAGTAGCAGTAATTATTTGATTTTGAGCTGTACATTACAGCATGATTGATTTAAAGTTTTTTAATTAAAGATAAATAAATTTATTACAAAATAATTAAATAAATTAAATAGATTATAGATTATATTTTATTCCTTAATTTTCCAATAGGCATTTCATCATCACTTTCTATAATTTGCTCTTTTGTTGTTTTTCCTTTGTCCTCTTCTTCATCACCACCAATATTAATATCATTACTACTGACCCTTCCCGAATCCGAATAACCTGCTAAAGCTTCACTAAGCACTGAACCAAGAAAATCACCAACAATACTATCCTCACCATCTAGATTTTTTTCCTTTGAAGAAGATATTGTTTGTCCTAATGGTTTGTCTTCTTCTTCCACTGCCACATTTTTACCATTTTTTGATTGTGATCTAGCAGATTGATTTGATAGTGATTTTTTAGATAGTGATCTTATATCCAAAATTGCTAATGGTATTTTATCACCTAATGGTACATCAAATGATGATGATGACCCTTCTGAATCAGAATCTATTTTCCTGCCATCAATCTTAACTTTATTTTTTTCCCGATGTGATTTTGATCTTTCTTTATTATTACTATTATTACTATTATTATTTTTACTAACAAAATCCGAATTGGAAGTAGATTTCTTGTCACGGCGTGATGGAGTCCTTGTAGAAAATTTATGGTGTAGTTCGGGATCATCATCATCATCATCATTATTTTTAGGTGATGATGAATGACGATGTTGTCTTCCTGATATTGATTGTTCAGTGGTCCGACTTTCTGAAAATGGTTCTCTTTTAGATTGTGAATTGGAACTGGAAGCACTCAATGAACCTCTTCCATCGTGGTGATCACTCCCACTCCTATTCCCCCTTGTATCTCGTGACCTGGTCGGTATTGAGAATGAAACTTCAGGATTAAGGTTCTGATTATCATCTGTTGATAGTTTGTTAGAATGTCTTTTAGAGAATCTATTACTATGACTACTATGACGATTATTGTGATTGTGATGGCTGTTGTTGTTGCTGGATGACAACGATGAATCTTTATCAACCTCGATGACAACAGAAGAAGACGCTGGTACAAATTCATGAATGTAGATGTCTTTATTATCAAATTCTAAACTTGATCTTGGTAGCACAGCTTTTGTGTTCCTGACAACTTCATCTTCATTTATATATGACTCTAATTGTTTGATTTTGGATTCTCGATTAAGTTTATTATGTTTTGAAAGTCTGTTTGATCTGTCATTTCTATTAATACCACTACTACGATTACTGTAATTCTTGGTATTACTACTATTGATATCATCATCATCATCATCATCATCATCATCATCATCATCATCATCATCATCATCATCATCATCATCATCATCATCTATATCTATATCTATATCTATAAAAGCATTTTTTGGTCTATTATCATCATCATCATGATTATTACCAGAATCTAAAAATAAATTAGGAGAAGATACTGAATCTTTTTTCTCGTTTTTTTTGTAAAAGCCACCGCCTTCACCAACGTTTCTTCTATAGACCAAGTAAAGAGCACCTACTAATCCCAAACCTAAAATACAACCACCTATTATGATAGCATATTTTGGCCAAGTACCAAATGGACCCAGTGAAATTTTATCAGAATCCTGATTTTCACTTGATGAAGCCAAATCTCCACAAACAGTCCTTTGTTCACATTTATCACCAAATATATAGACGTTTACAACAGGCAATTCCACCTGATTGGTACCATTGTCATTTTCAATATTTTGAGTAATTGTTTGATTTTGATTTATTGGGTCTGGAATGTCAGTCTCTGATTCTAATAGGTTTGGTTGTGATGTTTGTGGTGAAACTTTTGGAAATTGTACTAAGAGTTGCACAAAAAAAAATTCATTATCTCTTGATTCACATTCATAAACAGGCCCTGCGTTGGAATTTCTTAAACAATGAACATATGAAATAGGAGATGATGGATCTCCTTGTGCTAAATATCCTTGAGGAAGTCCAAATTTAGCTATATATTTATTATTGTATTTTTTTGAATTTACATGAGATGCCGTAATATTTAACAAATATAAATTGGGTGCTTGTTTTAATTCAGCTGATGTTGAATAGCAACATAATCCTCCTATTATTGATAAAATTATATTATCTATTTTAACAGAAAATAATTTACTATAAATAATATAAATACAAAAAAAATTACCTGCATCAACAACGGCTCGGAATAATATCACAAATAAAGAGACGATTATTAAAATGATTGATGTTGAATTATTCATATTATCGCGAAAAAATATAGGTAAGATCATGCATATGATAAAAATAAAATTAATGGATTTTTATTGAATGCAAATTTAACGATAAAAAAATGCTCGATTGTTATTTATAAATATTACTCTAGAAATATATTTTTTTTAGTTAGGTCATCATAATGAATGTTTTTTAGTGAATAAAATAATAACAACCAATTGAAATTAATT